TAACTTTTTTCCCTGATCGGTGTATTTTTCAGGATCTGGAAACAAAGAAGGTGATTGGGATTGGCCGTGAGATGAATGGAGTCTACCTTCTGGAACATTCACAGGGGGAGCAGAGTGAAGCAGGGAAATTGTTTGTTTCTCAGTCTTGTAGTAAGATTATGCTTTGGCACAACAGCTTAGCTTAGGACATTTATCTTTTGGATCTTTAAAGAGTCTTTTTCCAAACTTGTTTGAGTCAGTAGAAGTGTCTGGGTTAAAATGTGAAAGTTGTGAACTTGCAAAACATAGTAGATCATTTTATCCTTTAAGTAATAAAAGAAGCAACCTTCCTTTTGAGATTGTGCATACTGATGACATAATAAAAAGCAGAATTACATAAGTTCCCTTGGCGGCACACTCTAACATATAAAAAGAAACAAGAAACTCTAACAACACATACCTTTCCTCACCCATCAACTTACAAGTAGTAGCACGAATACCTGAATGTGCAAAAGCAGAGGAAGTGGTATTGCCTAAAGAGCTAGAAGCTATGACTGTATTCTCAAGATGATTAATCAACCTCAAGTACTTCTCAAATTCAGCCTTCATTGCTGGCAGCTAGCCAGCTACTTAATAGTAGTATTCTCATCACTAGAGACCTTTCCACTGTCTGGAACCATGGCTGCACTAGCATTCCCACTTTTCCCATTTCCAACCTTATTATTGTTGGAATTTCTGAATCGGGCAGGTAAGAGGTGTGGGTGTAACCTTCAGCAAGTGTTCTTTGTATGCTTCGGTTTCTTGCAATACTTACAAATGATGTCTTTCTTATCCTTACCTGTTGAAGCCTTAGGCTTCACCCCAACATTATCAAAACAATTAATCAGAAGAGTTCCCTGAACCAGAATTTGTCTTTTCCTTCCCTCACTACTTACCATAGCATAAGTTTGTGACAAAGACACATCATCCTTTGCCAAGATGTTCTGCTTGGTAATGTCATACTCTGGATTTAGCCCTATCAAGAATTCAAACACCCCAGTCCTCTCCACTTTCTATATGTTTTAGCATCTTTTGTAATTTCCTAAACCACTATCTCCATCAAGTCAATCTCTTAACAAATAGATTTTAGCACAGAGTAGTAAACTGCTAATGGTTTCTTTCCACTGAAGATTGTTTACATCATTCCTCAACTTATATGCCCTGGCAAAGTCCATCCACAACTAATGTTGGTTTATATGGGGCTGCATAGAATTCACAAGCCAATCTATGACAGTTTAATTCTCCTACATCCACTTCTCATAGGAGGGAACATCCTCCTTAGGCTGCTGTTTCTTACTACCAGAGATGAAACTCACTTCCCTCTGCTGTAGACATGTATTCTCACTGGCTGTGATCATGCTAGATGATTAGTTCCATCAAGTATCTCAGTGGTCACAGCCAGAAAGAGGTTTATAGAAGCCCCTGGACCCAGTCTAGAATTTGAGGTTTGCTTAATCTCCACTTTGGAGTTTTCCATTAATCTAAAACTTCAAGAAAAGGTTTTCAAATAACTAACAATAATGACTGGAAGGTAAAACAACCAAGAATTGACCTTAAATAGGAACCTAAAACTAGAGCTGCGCAGAACCTGGAACACAAGAGAAAACTGAAAACTATAATTGCTCCTTGTCTCATTGGATTTTAGTGCAACTTGGATCGATCTCCAAGATGACGAAAAATCTTCCTTTCAAGCCCAAAGTGTTTTGGTCACCAATCTGAAAGCTTATTTTCTCCAAAAAATCTGCCAACTAGGCTGCATGAGTCTTCAAAGAATCACCAACTCAGTTCTCAATACACTTTTTTTTTTATCAATAACAACATTTCATTAATTAATCACAGAAGTAATTACATGGAGGAAGATAAACTTTCTTATCTTCCAACTGGAGATTGAGCTCCCAAGAACAGAAAAAGGAAAAAATTACACTTGTGCCCAAAACATTGATTCCCTCTCAACCCCTTGCTTAGCTAATCCATCAGCAAAAGAGTTAGCTGATCTTTTCACCCAGCTGATCTTGACTTCCATCTCTTGAACCAGCCACCTAAATTTCCTCCTCTCATTATACATCCATAACCTGCTATTTTCTTTATTCAGCCACCCTACCACCACCTCTGAGTCCCCTTCAATTATGAGTTTTCTTATATTCATCTCCTTTGCTCTTTGGAAACCTTCCAAAACTGCAAAGATCTCAGCCCTGAGAGAGTCGCCCACTCCAATTGGGCCTGAGAACAGGGCTGAAACAAACCCATTTTCATCCCTAAACACACCCCCAATCCCCAAGTGTCTAGGTGGGCAGAGGGGGGCCTGGATCCAAGACACGCTCAATACTGTTTTGGCCTGGGTGCAATTAGCAATCTCACCCCACTTCCTCAACAAATCATCCACTGTGAAGTCTGTAAACAGCTCTGAAGATTTCAGCCACTGTACTACCCTTATATGGATCAATTCTCTCAGTTCTTCATTGCCTCTCTCTACTTCAGAGAAGATCCTGGAATTTCTTTCCTACCACAGAGCCCAACATACTACAGCCCTCAAACATCTCCACATGGTCCTTCCCCCTTTCATTCGGCACCTGAAGAAGGAAGGGGAAGAAAGACTTTGCAAGTTTTATGGAGGATTCCACCTACACCAAAGAGGGATAAACCCCACACCCAAATGGACTTAGCAAATGGCAAGACACTAATAGGTGAAAACCAGTCTCCCCATCCGCTTTACAGAGAACACGCATGTGACTCTGTGAGGGGATAAACATGTCTTGGGTCTCTTCTTTTGGAGCAGATCACCAGTATTGATTCTTTCCAGAAAAGCTTCCCAGCAAAACCTACCAACCCTAGGGGGAATTGGTCTGTATCAAACCTCATTAACCGGGAAGAGAGGGGCAACAGGATTGGGGTACTAACTTAAGACTTTGAAAAAAGAGGCATAAGAAAATGAGCCAGTGGGGGTGGGGGTCCAGATTCTAGAATCCAACTTAGCAAGGTCCAAGAAAACATTATCAAGGATACCAAGGAGGCTCGAAATACTATCCAAGTCTAAATCTCTCACAGCCCTTCTCAAGCCCAAATTCCACCCAAACCTAGAAAAGGAAGATGAGGGGGGTTATGAAGGAAGAAACTGGCTCATTTTTTAAGTCAAAAAGGGCATACAAGGAAGGAAACAGGTCCTTAAGAGGGGCATTCCCCACCCATGTTTGTTCCTAGAATTTTATGGAGTTACCTAAGTTCAAATTATACCTGATGAGAGGGGAGAAAGTTGGAAGCAGATCATGCATGGCTTTCCAAGGTGGCACACTTGTGGTCCTAGTTCAGATCCCAGCATCCCATCCATTTTGCTCCAACCCATGTATGCCTATCACTACTTTAGCCCATAGTCTCTCATTTTCTATTGGAAGTCTCCACAACCATTTCCCCAGAAGAGCCAAATTCTTTTTCCTGATGTTCCCAAGCCCCAAGCCACCTAGGTTTTTGCTCCTAGTCACCACCTCCCAACTCACCCTATGGTCCCTTTTGTCCTCTCCCGGCTCCCATAAGAAATCTCCCATCATTTTTTCCAATCTGTTAGATACCTTTGCTGGGATTTTGAACACTGAAAGGAAATAAATGGGTAAGTTGGCTAAAGTTGCCTTAACCAGTGTAATCCTCCCTCCAAAGGAAAGGTAATTCTTCTTCCAATAGGCAAGTCTCTTTTCAAATCTTTCCACCACCAGATTCTAGAAACTCACTTTCTTTGGGTTATCACCCAAAGGCATCCCTAGGTAATTTAATGGCCATCCTGAAACTTCACAACCCAGCAATTCTGCACTTTCCCTAATCTCTCCCTCCTCCAAATTCACACCCACTACACAACTTTTCTCAAAATTCACCTTTAGGTTGGACATTTGTTCAAAGAAATGTATCACCAATTTCATGTTCCTAATGTACCTCAAGTTCCCTCCTTCACAAAACATAATTGTGTTATCTGCAAACTATAAATGGGTAAGGGGGATTTCCTCCCTCCCAAGTCTCCAACTTCTTAAGAGGCCCCTAAAATCTGCTCTATTAATCAGTCTCCCCAAGACATCAGCAATCAGAGTGAACAGAAAGGGAGATAAGGGGTCCCCCTATCTTATTCCCCTAATGGATGGAAAGAAACACACCATTGTCCCACTCACTAGCACAGAATAATGATAGTTCCAAACACACCCCATGATCCGTTTACACCATCTAGTCCCAAACCCAAATTTAGTCATAACTTTCATCAAGAACGACCATTTCACCAAGTCATAAGCCTTTTCCAAATCCAGGTTACAAACCACTCCCTTCTTCCTGTCCTTCCTAAAATTCTCCACACTTTCATTAGCAATCAGGATTTGATCAGTAATTTGTCTTCCACTCACAAAAGCTCCTTGATTTGGAGAGATTATTACTAGCAATACTTCCTTCATCCTCAAAGACAAACCTTTGCTAAGATCTTATACAAGCTATTTACCAGTTCTCAATACACATTGTGTATGGGATTAAAGAAAAAGAGACAAAGAGGCTGTACCACTTTGATACCAAGTAGAAAACCAGCATTAGAATAATCAAAGAAAACAGAATGGAAGACAAGGAGAAGAAGAATAGAAAGAAAAGGGAGGAGATGAGAAAGAAGATCAGTTCTCAACTTCTCATCCCAGCCCCTAATTAGCTTTTATTAGCACTAAGTAGAACGTCTAGTATAATTACAAGTATACCCTTAAGAGTGCAGCTGTTTAAGAATAACAAATAAAAAGATGCTAACAGGCACATAAGTGATAGGCCCATTTAATGTATGCAGATTCTTATATAGAAAAGATTTTCAACTTTTTTAGATTTATTATCTGATAAAATACTTTATCAAAAAAAATATTATCTGATAAGATAGCATAGGGCCACATTTTTGAAAATCTTCTATGTCCATCGTTTCCCATAGTTTTAAACAATCCTAGACAATGATAGACAAATGAATTTTGTCTAAATTTCCTTACCAGCATTGGGGCCCAAATAACACAGATTAGTATGAAGAATAGGCATAACCCATTGCAGAATTTCGTCATTTTTGTCTGCTTCTGTCCTTGTTGATGTTTGGCTCTGTTCAAATCAGCATCACACTTAACGAGATACAAGCTTGCATGAATGTCCTCCAACTAAGAAGAAAGAAAAATGTCAGGTCTGAATATAGACAACCAGGGAACTAAAACAATTAGTTAGATCAGAAGAATAATTAAATAAATAACTGAATATTCACTGAAGTATACAAGAGAAAGACTACAATTTCATCAATTCAATAATGTTCTGTATTTTAGTAAAGCATTTAAATGTCCACCCTTTTTACTGATATTAATTTGCTAGAAAAGTTTGAGCTTTGAAAAGAAAAAAGATTAAGATAAATGTCTTTGAGAATATTGAGGAAGAAAATCACATCACTACTTCCTTTCTCATTCAATCCATTTGGAAATAGAGAAGTAAAACAGGTCTCAAAAAAGTGAGATTTAACTAGGATTTAATGGTAGAAATTGAGAGGTTGTTTGGTACTATGGCCATTTATTGAAGAAACGTTTTGTACGGGATTTGTCTTGAAAAACGAGAATAAACGTTTATTGCTGTTGTTTGACAGGTAGGTACCATTAGATGCCATTAGGTGCCACATAAGCTGAACAGTAAATAAACGGCTGGGTGTTGGGGGAAACATTAAAAATGGTGTTTCCCCGAATGGTTTGCTCACACACAAACTGAGATAAACGTTTATCTAATAAACATCTTAACAAATAGCATTTTGGAATAAATGCCTATGTTGCAATGAGCTGGCACCGTTTTTCAAATAAACAGCCACAGAACCAAACACCATCTGAGAGAGAAAGGTTCAGATTAGAAGAGAGGAGGAAGAAAAAAGGGTTTAGGAGAGTAGAAAACTAATCTGTCTCCCAGACCCCTAAACTGATTTATTTGATTGATTAGAAAAAAAAAATTACTAAAAGTGCAAAGAAACCCCTCATGGGGAGGCTGTAAAGAATAATAAGAAAGTAAAGATCTAACAGGCCCATCAAACTAAGGCCAACTAGAAATAAAATAAAACAGGGCCATAACCACTAACTCACGATCTCAATACTCCCCTTCAAGCTGAACATAGACATCAATCACGTTGAACTTGCTTACATATTGCTCCAACTTATGCCTAGGAACCCCTTTAGTAAACACATCTGTCAATTGTTCTTTTGAAGCTACAAAAGGAAAACACACCTCTCCAGAAGCAACCCTCTCCCTTATGAATTGCCTATCCACTTAAATATATTTTGCCCTATCATTTGAACTCGATTATGAGTTACATTGATGGCAATCTGATTATCACAATATAACATCATAGGTTTGTCATGACCCCCCCCCCTCCCCAGGCCCCAACTCTCCAAGGAGTGATCTCAGCTACAATAGCACTGACACCCCACGGGCCATTGCCCTATAAATATCAACAAAACTTTCCAAAATTGGCAATGTTGCAATACTATTCTTTTCATGTTCTCTAATTTTAAGTGATTGACATTTCTACAGAAATTAACTTTATTCATGATTCAACAAAGCACTGTCCTTGTTACTTACATGAACCGTGGTTTGCCATTCCACTTTATAATGGCTACTAGTACTTTTTTTTGTTGGTTGGGAAAATTGGAGAGCACCCTGATTTATGACATTATGGAGAGATTGTTAATTTATGGTTTTGAGTTTATGCATTTTCCAAACATAAATTTCACATTAGAATATATGTTTTCATAGATGCATTCAGACATTAAAATTGAATGTAAAGATTTTGAACATTATGAGCATGGTCCAAATGCAATGGATATGTAGATAGACAATGAGTGAGGAATAGCTACATCAGGAATGATAATAAAAATAGGTCATGTGTACATCTACAAGAATTGGGATTCATCATTCAATGGATCTGCAGAGATTTTTTGGATCAACAGTCCACCTGATAAGATGAACCTAACTGGCCCATCTGCTGTGAAGTGGTTAACAATTACATGATAAGAAAAGAAACAAAAGGGAAGTATTTTGAGGAAACTGATCTATATAGTCAAACAGAACATAAAGAATTTCTTTTAAGAATAAAAAATGTACCCCCCTCCCACTCCCCTCCCCTTGAAAAAAAAATAATAAAAAGATCACGAACAAAAACTAATTGAAATGGTCTTACCTTCAGCCAGTCATACATTGTCAAAGATGTGGTTGTGCATGACCAATCAAGCACACATCGCAGTTCATATAGGAATGGTAAGGCACGGTAGAGACGAAATCCCAAATAATTAACCTGTGAAATTTTACTTGTCAAAAACTGACGATACAATGTGCTTTTATTGGGAATGCCATATCGGATTTGGATAGCCTGCAGTGCTAGGGAAATCGTCTTTGTGAGGTAGATTGCACGAAGCGCTAATCCTCCGGCATGTCGGTGTGAAGGCTCCATATGCCAAGCATACTCTGTCACAGAGTATGTAAAGAGGACAAGGTTGGAAAGATAAAATATAACTTTTCCAGTGGCAAATGAACAGAGGTAAATAATGCGATCAAGCACGATCAAGAAAAAGATTATCTGCACATAAAAAAATGAACAGATTATCCAGTTAAGAACATAACTCAAGAGGTTAGATGGTTGCTTAATGTTCTATTTAAGGTGGAAAAGAATTGACTAAAGCAGTTATTGCATATTGGCTCAGTTAAGCACTCTGTGACTTAAATGAGTTTAAAGAGAAAGTATATCGCACAAGAAGTCATCCAAAGTCTTCATGCTCCCTTCTTTAGCCACATAGAGCCTGTATTTGGATAGCAGGAGTGGAATGTATTTGAATTTTGAGTCTGCCTTAACTATGCAGAAAAGAAATGACTAGCACCAAGAGTAGATCAAATTCTACTAAAATGTGGAATTGATGGGAACTTCTCTGTGTTAATTGAAGTTCTGAGATTCTGAAAAAAGAGCTCAAAACAACAGAATCAAGAGACCTATAAAATTTCAAACCTGATGCCAATCCAGACACTCCATCATCAAGCAACCCCCTGGATTGCTACTTCGTCCATGCCCAAGACCACATCAGCTGTATATGCTGATTTTGTCTGGACTCTCTCTAGTAATGCAAGCTATGAAATTTCAAACCGTTCAGTTAAAAAAAGTCTCTATTGGCATTTCACTCTATCAATGGCCATATCAACTGTCAAATTGTGGATAAAGAAAGCCTAACTACCAAAGAAGCTTAGCAAAATCTCCAGAAAGAAAGCTTACTCTTAGCACATGGTAGGGGATTCCCCATTAATGATTGCAAAGGTAAATATCTCTATCTATTTCAGAATGCATGTAAATTTCTCTGATCCCTTCTGCAGAAAGGTCCCACCAGTCCCCAAGCCATTTAATCATGAAACAGCTCAAAAAGTTGGTTTGGGTCATAAATATAATAAATTCATACCAAAAGTATACTGTGCAAAGTAACAAATCTTCTAGACTTTGCTTATTTATCTCTGACCATGTAATGTTAGACAAGAAAATGGTTTGACTTGATAATAAAACAGAAGAAAAACATACCATTAAGATAAATACAAACTCCTTTGGGAATTGATCTTCAAGCTGATACACCTCAAGAAATTGACTGTTGTTTTTTATGACCGATTGATAGAAAATGGAAACCAAAAAGAAAACAGCCAAATCAGCACCAAATATGTAGGCATATAAATCAATTTCTCTTTTACCTCCCCCAATTACAGAGAGTATAGGATATGGGAATCCTATCTCATCAACAAACCCTGCATGTTGTGCTTTGAGAATCTCCTTTGCTACATCAGCAGCTGGAGTTAGTGACCTGTACCATTCAGTTGGGGGGCACTCCATCAAAGGGGACGCATATACCACCTCAAAGACAGCAAGTGCCACATTTGGATTTTCTTGACTCCTCTCAATGCTTTGAACTCGAACTCTACTTGCACAAGGGCAAGAACTAGGATTTTTTTCCTTGCATCTCTCATCATGAACATACTTCAGCAACTTGTTTATCCGTGACTCAATCCTCTCTGGCTGAATTCCATCCTCTGGCCACAAGTTAACTTCCATTGAGAGCTGCACAAAATAGGGAGGAGATTCTGCTCCTTGTGTCAGTGATTTCCAGTACCTAGAGAAGCCCCTAATTGTCATTTTCATGGAATTTGTAACTGATCGGACCAGCCACTGTGCCTTCTTCCAATAAGAATTCAAAAGAACCTTCTCTGGATTAAACGTTCTCCCCTTGAAAGAACTGAATTCTGTAAAAGTTGCCCATTCACTATCTTTTACTGTTATAGAACTCTGTAGTAGGGTAAACAGATATACCAAAAATAGAGGCAATGTGCTGATAACAAAGGATGACATAATTTTATGTGAAGGAAACCCTAATTCTTGCAGTAGGCTCCAATTGATGCTCAACCCACAGTGTTGGATGATAATCTGATACAGATACTGAAGTAAAATATAGACTTCTGTGTAAATCAGCATAATGACCCAGAAAATGTAGCTTGGGCCAGTATTTACACAGAGAGCATATAAGAAGAGAGCCACAAGATAGACCATAGAAAGTAAACTGAAGTTCCAAAGGAATACAAGAACAAAGCAACAGTAACACACAATGTCATTATTGGATCGCATCTTCAACCATATGTAACAAAAGATCCTTCCAATTTGCAGGCTTGCAGCATCAGACATGGTCCTTTCACTCTCTGATTGAAGAGAAAGTGCCCTATCCAACCGCTCATATCTAATAGTCTGACTCTCTATCTCATCATACATGCCATCCTCCGCAGAGGCATAGTCATTGGAATCTGATTCTTCATGTGCTATGTTCAAGAAGCTTACAAGGTTGGTAACTGCTTGATTTCCAAGAGATTGTACTTGAGAAACACCATCACCTATCATCTGAACTGCTGAAATTAATGGATTTTCCTTTGATCGGACCTTTTCATTCTCACTTCTGCTCGAATCCACAAATGTACTGTGAGCATCCTTTTCTTCAAGTTCAGTGATCTCATGAAAAAGAGAATCTGTTGAATGCATAGGGGACGGCAATGGTGATTGAATTCCACTTTTTATACTTGTAGGAGAATTATGCATTTCAAAAGGGAACACTGACTCTGTGCTGTTAACCAGGTCATGTTTCCTCAGAATGTTTTCCTCTTTATCCATGGTCCTGGTCTTGGTCTCTCTTAAATTTAGTGAAGAAGTTCGTCTCCGTCTTAGGCCCTCACTTTCAGGAGAAGCATTACCACAATTTGCAGTAGAGTTCATGCTGTAAAGCTGGATTTGTAGGTTGAGCATCTCAGATTTCATCTTCTCCACCTGCAAGTTACGCTGGCGTTTCTGCTCCTCACATTTACGAATATGCTGCAACTGCGCAGTCTTCCATGCAGCTTTTCTTTCTTGTTCACGCACAATGGCACCAATTTGCTCTGCCTCAAGATATCTTGACACATAATGAAATTCCTGGGAAGAAAACATATAGGATTGCAGTGATACCAGCGTAAATATGATGATCTCAACCAATGCAGATCTCGATGTAATCCGAAACCCATAATCATATTTATAAAATCCAATCACCTCATAGACATAATCTATGGTATCACACTTTTCTGCATTAAAATCCCCCAAGAAAGGAGATTGATAGGCTAGGGAAAGAACAATAAGAGCAAAATTATACATGCGCAAAAACTTGAAAATTCTGTTCTTCTTCTTTAGTATTTCAAGTCTCATTCGGAAGAAAACCAAAGCAAAACCAAGATAGCCCAGATGTAGTATGTCATACTCAAGGGTTCCGGTAATTAGAATTAAAGCAAGCACAAGATCCAACAAATGACAATAACAGTAAACCCTCAGGTAGTCAAGGAATGTCCACAGGCTTTTAGTTTCAAAAGAGAGATCTCTCCAAACCACTGCATTTTTACGTTGAGACATCATTTGGCTGTATGTACGTGATCTAGAGAAACCAGACAGATGATCAGCGCGGAGTTTAAAGCATGCAAACATCAAAACCAAAAAGTAGCTGATAAGCATTCTGGGATCGTCAACTATAATTCCTACAGAAAAGTAGCAGAAAAGCTCAACTTAGCAGCTAGTGTGAGAAATAAATCTGCAGTATATATAAGGAAAAAGAAGATTGCATATTGGCCTATATCAATGTTCAAGACTTTGATGTGACTTTATCAAAATAACAGGTCAAGTTAATGAGTCAATGAGATAGCTACAAACAAGTGAAATGAATCAAGATATCTTGATTTAAAAACAGTCAGATTTCTATTTTTCAAAACTTGTCAAGTCAAAACCTTGATTCGAAGTTTTTCTTTTCCTATAACAAGCCAATGAAAACCCCACCCAAGTGGATGGGCAGACTCTCAAGTCTAACGACGAATTGATGATAAAGATAACGATAATAATAGTAATAATAATGACAATAACAATAATAATAACAATAACGACAATAATAGGAGACAGGAAAAATAATAATAGTAGAAAGCCTTATGTGCTGATTCGGCCAAGCTTCTTGTGAAAGAAAGAGGAGAAAGTTGGGGGTTTCAGCAATAGACAGAGGAAAAGGAAGAAAAGGAGAAGAAGGTCAACTAGGATTGTGTATCATAACCCTAGCCGCCAGCCCCTCATTCTATTTATAATTAACTTAAATATGAGATATTACAAAGATGCCCCTAGTAGGGCGGCAACTCAAACTAAGTACTTACAATTCTTTTAAAAAATAAAAACTAATGGGCCCAAGGCCCAACAACTTCTTAAT